TGCAAGTTCCTCTGGTGCAACGGTGTGCAACTAATGTTGACTCTTGATTTATAAACTCCCCCGCCCCCCCCCTCAACAACCAAGGCCTCCAATATAATGTATAAGAACATCAATCCATTGATAAATATATAAGGAATCCTTAGCTAGCTACCTCTGGAACTACTCTGGCAATACTAAAATTCCAGGAATCAAGAAACCTAACTTTGAAGACATCTGGAATATTAATTACAATAAAAGTTTGGACAGCAAAATGAAACGTTTGGACAGCTTAAAGACTAAAGAGCTTGGGTAAGTAAAGAAAATCAAAAGGAAAAAAAAAGGGAATGAATACAAGTTTACTTAAAGCAAAAAAACAGTAAACCTGAAATCTCTAGACATTATTCTAGGGGCCCCCCCTAAATAATGTCAGAAAGCTGCTTGCTGGACTACCCCTTTGCTTGAATGATTTTTTCAATACTTTTGAATAAGGGATTTTGTAGAGAAAATGTGCGCTGACTTTTGGAAACTTTTTGGAAAGCGTAAAGACTAAAGAGCTTAGGTAAGTAAAGCAAATCAAAAGGAAACAAAAGGGAATGCATACAAGTTTACTTAAGCAAAATATGTTTTAAGCCTGAAATCTCTAGACATTATTCTAGGGGCTTGCTGGACTACCCCCTTTGCTTGAATGATTTTTTGTGTGTTTTTTGTTTAAGTAATACTTTCGAATAAAGGCTTTTGTAGAGAAAGTGTGCACTGACTTTTGGAAACTTTTGGAAAGCTTAAAGACTAAAGAGCTTAGGTAAGTAAAGCAAACCAAAAGGAAACGAAAGGGAATGAATACAAGTTTACTTAACGCAAAATATGTTTTAAGCCTGAAATCTCTAGACATTATTCTAGGGCCCCCCCTAAATAATGTCAGAAAGCCTCCAAAAGCCTCCAAAAGCATCAAATTTCAATGGAAATCTCCAAAATTTTAATACAAATCTCCATCCAAACGCCTCCAAAAGAATCACATCTCAATGGAAATCTTCAACTGGTTAATAGAAATCTCCATCCAAAAGCCTCCAAAAGCATCAAATCTCAATGGACATCTCCAAATGTTTAATAGAAATCTCCATCCAAAAGCCTGTAAGATAAGCAAATCCCAGCAAACTCAAAAGGGAAAAAGACAACTATAACAATAAAGAATATCCCACTACAACTACCCGTCCCCCCCAAAAAATGCATTATTCTGGGGACCTTTATAAATCTGTGCAGGAAAAAGGTCATTATTCTAGGGGCGTTTATAAATCCAGGGTCTACATTACCTTCCAGGACCATCCGTTCCGGGGCACCAACTACTATACTACGGACCTCAGACGACAGGATGATCCGGTTTTGACCGCTGGGTTGATGTCAAATGGGTAGTTGAAACATGTTGGAGCTGTGCCAGTCACACCCAAAGACATACTCTCCAACCTGACGACATGTGTTTCAATCATGTCACGAGTATTCAATTGTGTTCAATTTGGGCAGCATGTTCGATGTTTTTCCCTGAAAGGTCTTCTCCTTTGCACCTCCACGGGCGTCCTCCAAGAAGGCCGTGCAGGCACCGACGTGGCGGTCCGCGTGGCGGAGCGGGCCGCCGACCTCGACACCCGCAGCGCGGAGGCGACGTGTGAGGAGGATCGGCAGATGATCTGCGTGGCTCGGCGGAAGTCGGAGACCCACAGAGTTTGGACTGGAATATGTTGCCCTTTAGGAGTCAAAGACTTAATATAAAACAAACTGGTCTTTAGGGTACCTGAAAGGGAATTTCCTTTACTCCAGTCTTTGGACTTCTGGGTATGGCTACCTGGAGTATCTTGGAGTCTCAGTTCGTACCTCCGAAAATGGGTACAAGTACTGACAAGTACCCACCCGCAGTTTTTTTGCACGGGGTATCATGGGTTCATGTCACGTCCTATTCTCTAGGGTACTGGAAGTCGGCTCCAAGTACCAAAAAAGACCGACTGAAACCACGCAACTGATCAGCGGTCTTCCAGTCCAGACAGATCATCTCGCATGTCGCGGAGAGGCGGTTTGTCCTTTTGTTTGGCTGGTGGGCTGTCCTTAAAGGACGGACTTGGCAGGTGGGAGTCATCCCACATGTTTTCACTTGGGTGGTTTGGGTACGATTCAAGGGTCAATGTACATGACCGTTTGATATTACTTAACTCGGTGTTTTCAAACGTTTTTAGTCCCATCGTCGTGTCAGTTTCTGGGTATATTGTGTGTATGATTCGTGTAACTTCAAAGCATTGTGCACGACTGCTAAAGCTGCAGCCCCAGAACGCAGCCAAAACGCAGAATGCAGCCAGAGTTTCTGAGTTTCAGAACCAGGCCTGTGATATCCAAGTTGGCCATGTTGATGCAATCCTGTCTCTTGTAAAGGTCCCAATCCAATCCCTCTTCAATACTCATTTAAAACCACCAGCTCAAACAAAGGTCTGCACATCAACCAGACACTCCACGAAAGGAATACATGCCTACATTAGGATATTCATATGTCATACGTGGAGAAGAATGGACCGGTGGTTTCGACCATCTTCACTTCATACCAACCCAGCAGCTGGCATGTGTTCCTTCGCTCCATGTGCCCGGGGGAGAGTTCATGTCTAGCTGGAAGGTTCATAGATGTTTGGCCGAGGTCTGAGCATGTTCAACATGGAAACATCATCATCATGTTCATCTGTTCATCTGGATGGCATCCTTTTGGCGTGTTCCAAAGGACTCCGAGAGTTTGCACATCATGGAACATGCTGCATACATGCTTGGGCCCCTCACTGAGGACCTCATTGAGGCGATGCCGGGTGGCTTCGATGCGATGAACAACTACGTGCGCGAGACCATTCTGGAGGCCTTGGAGGCTTCACATCAACACTACGAGTCAACTTTCAAAGGTTTCTGATCTGAATTCTTGGGACAAGCTTTCTGAATGGCTGTTTGCATTTACATCCGCATGTCAGTGATGTACCCCACCAAGCTAAGAAGCTTTCGAAATCGGGAAGTGTCTATCCGCATAATGTAGTGGGGATCACTGGAGGGTCCCCCTTGTCACATACGTCCTCGTTGTCGGATCGTGGGGAGTCCGGTGGGGCGAGCTCCGTCCTCTCAGCACGAGCCGGACATGCTCGGAGGAGTGGGCCCGACACCTTGGAGGGTCGTAGAGATGGACCCACACCTTGGAGGTGGTTGGAGGTGGTTGGTCATGTCAGGAGCAGATGGGGGGTGATGGTTTGGGCGAGACAGCTTGGAACCAAGGAGCAGGAGGGTGCAGTCGGAGTGGGATGTCTTTACTTGGTGATTCATGTTGCGTAGCTGAGGCTGGAGAACCCCTATTTCTAGCTTCCCTAGGTTTTTTCACAACTTTTAACATCTCTTAACTAGGACTAACTGTCTAACTATCGATGTAGTTTCCCTGGTTGCAACAACTTAGAACACGGGATTTACCTCCAAGATACAAAGTAGGAGTATATGTAGGATGAACCACCAATTGGATGCCCTCGTCACTCTGAGGTTTGATTCGCAACTTGACCTCCAGGGTGGCCTTTGCCAGAGCGGCCAACGACGCCACATCACTTCCAAGGCTGCTTGGAGCAGCGAGGGCCGTGCCTTCAGATCAAACGGCCGAGAAGACTCAGCTCGCTGAGGGTCAAGAGAGCCCCCGCGACGATGTGGCAATATAGAGCCACAACTTCCAGGTGGTTTCAGAGATGTGTCATTTTCAAAAGTTACTTGATGATTGATATTGCTTAATCCCACAGACTCATATAATATGAGTTGAAACCACCAACCAGGCCACTCCAAGATTGCCGATGCTTTGTACTGAGGACACGCACAGGTTTTGCATGAAGTGCCCCAACCTTCTAATCCTGGGGCACATGAGTATGGCCTTTGGTTATCACTGCATCCATTCAACACTATTTTGTCGCCAGACGAGGAATCCAGCGAGTGTAGCGTCCAGTTTGTACATGTTTGTACCATTCCTGGCCATATTCACACTGTTCCATTGCTAGCTCCGTGAGCTTAATGTTACTTTCTAGCCCAGCACGAACATCAATGCGAGTTTGACATGACAGAACTGCTGAAGGATGTGCAATCATTTTCCTCCAGCCATGTCACAGCAAGAAGAATCTCTTGGCGGAGTTCCCACCACCCGCGTGCCGGAGCGCCGGAGCGTCGGTCGCTCCGCAACCACCCAAAAAGGGGCAGACGCGGACCACCAAAAGGTCGAGAAGAGCCGCCGCGCGGGGCGGCGACTCGTAGAGCCTAAGGCCTAAGGTGTATAGGGCTCCTGGCCCATATCCTCAGTTGGTTAGACCCCCCCCTGGCACCCACACAAAGCACCTTCGACATAGAGGTAGGCCAGGAGGTCTAGGGAATGGCCCCCTTGCCATCCATTCGACCTCCGTTTCAAGGGTGTTTGGGACCTTCCAGGACACCACATCACCCATCACATCATCACATCATCATCCACGGAACCGCCAGTGGATCCATCATCCTTATCATGCCGCAGTGGATCCCATTTCCGAGTCGGTCGTCAGTGCATACTGACCTACTGTCTCACCATGACTTTTCATCGACCGTCCGCCGATGAAAAGTGGGACCAAGAAGCACCTCGTTCTGCGGGTACGAATGGCCTGGAGGGCTTCCACAGCCCAATGCCTCCAACCATCTCCAACCTACTGGCGTTTCCTCCACGCTAAGAGCGATGGGCCTCCAACCTAAATGGCCTCCAACCTAATTACTACAGCAATGCTAGGGGTGGACTCTTGTAGCCCATGCCTCTTCAACACCCCAAGGCTCTTCAAGGCTTTACAGCCCATGCCTGCCGACTGGTCCTCGCACGACATCGCGCAGATTCAAGCTTGGTGTTGGGGTAAAAAACATTAAACAACACCATGGAAGCTGATTTGTTGTGGTGACAGGTTGAACAGCCCATCAGTTTGCCCATCCTGTCACCTGTACCACCACGTACCACCCACCTCGCCCGACCGAAGGTGACCCCAAGCGGGCGACCCGAAGCAGTGGACGAACCAACGAAGCAGTGGCGGAAAAATGCCGGGTCAATGGGTGGTGAGACCTCACCACCATGGGAGAAAAGTGGTGAGGCCATGGCTGATTTCAGTGGTGAGACCTACGGGGTCGCTGCCTGGCACGGGGTACAACATCACCGTGCCATGTCTTTCTTCTCGTCGGAGATGCTGATGAACACCTAGCTTAGCTTCAAATGCTATCTATAGAGATCTAAAGAGCATGACGCGTCCTGTTTGCTTTTCCAGAGGCCAAACTCTTTCAGGGCAGGCTTGGAGACCCTTTTGAAAGGAACACTTGCCATGTTGGAGGGATTTTGCGTGATCTTCATCTCTCGAAAATGCTCAATCTATAGCAGCTATAGCAAGCCAGGTTGACCTAGCAGAGGAATTGTCGGGACATATTTCACATAGCTTGTGACCTCTTTCCGTGACCAATCGAAGAAAATTCCTTCTGAGCTATTTGGAGACCAACGGAAGTGTCTTTGGCCTGGCGGAAGAATGGGTCGAACCAGCGTGTGCTGAAAGGAGGTAGGACACCAATGGTTGGTTAAGGGATATGACACAAATCGGGCACCCAAAAGTAAGCGATATGGATCAAAAGGGAGGCTGCAAAGACTTCATCATCCCAAGCTAGTGAAGGAAACCCTGTTGGATCCATCAGGTGAACCTCTTCCATCAGGTGATTGGAATCCAACGACATGCTTGGTCGAATTTCATTTGTCAGGAAGGGACCGTGATTGCAGCCTAAACAATCCATCTATAGACCTTGGGCTTGTCCGTTCTTACCTGTAACAGTCAGTACACAATCATGACGATTTTGTTCTATTTTGTGAACAAGGCCTTTAGTAACCATCAGGCTTCAACTGTTACTGGTAATGGGATAGACCCAACCAATTGCCTTATGGATGCATCAACCTTTCGAACTGTCCAACCTCAGGTCAATCTTCCACAGATGACATCTTTTGAGCTACCATCTCGTTTGCTGTTCAACCGTCTTCTTCACCTCCAGGTGGATTTCTTGGTTCAAGCGACATGGCCACCGGGGATGTTCCACACATCGACCATCAAAAAGCCGGGTACACCTGGACCTTTGGGACCTTGAGGTCAGCCTAGGATCCTTCCCAGCGCTGTGCTTGACTAGCTTTTCATGTTGCAAACTGATTGACCAAGTGCAACTGCAACTGTCAGACCGGAGGAGCTGAACCGGAGGAACTGCAGAACTCCACATGGTGAAGAGAGGGAGCCGTACTGTGTCGCCAATGTGTCAGAAGAAAGACATCCTGATGTGTCTAACTGCAAATTCCCGTGGCTGGTCAAAGTCAAACGGGGCGTCGAACGATTTTGCCAATTTTGTTTTTTTTGCGCAAGCCATGGCAAGCCTGGCGAGCACCAGCTTTCTAGCGACTGAGCTCAAAGGTCAGTGGGTGTCCATAAAACAGAATGGGCAGTCTCAAAGATGAAGCAAGCACATAGATGATGCAAGGTATGCACTCTGCCTTACTTGGAGTATACTTGGAAGTAGGCAACACTTGTAGGGGGTGCCAGACATGATCAGGGAAAGTTCCTTCAACAAAAGAACCTGAGGGTTTATTTGCTCCCAAGCTTTGCGCTTTGAAGATCATTGAAGCCATCGCGAAACATATCGAAAATTCATGATTTTCTTTCTACTCGAAGCATCAAGACCCACCAATCCTCAAGACATTTCAAGACCATTTTTACGTGTTTGGTCAACACGTGGCAAAAGGAAACAAGGCTCCTGACACAGCTTCTCAAAAAGAAACCATTCTTGTCCAAAAAGATCTCAACAAAAACACAACCTTCCCCAAAGACAAAGGGCCCCTCTTCGCGCCGAGGTGCCTGCGCGGTCGGCGACCCCTGCGAGGCGCGGATAGGTCGTTTAACAGGACCGTTTAGGGTGGAGGAGCTGAGTGGAGGAGCTTTGAGGCATTTGGTTGGTTCAGCTTGAGGGGTGGTCCGCATGATCAGAAAGAGAGCAACGGTGCCGGTCCCAAATCGCGGAACACCTGTGACTGCAGTGTGTTGTAAATGAGAAGTGCGATGTGCTAATGACTCCACTCTACTGTTAGTTCAGAGTTTGCTAGTTGATTTCAGGTCCAAGCTGCCATGGCGCCATGATTCCCTTTCACTGACTATACCTGATATGACCAGGGATTGGAACTTGACGAACACACTTTTATCATGTCCGCCATTTTTTGGAGGCCGGAAGGTTTGGATCGCGAGATGACTGTTTGTTCAGTTTCAGCTTGGATGCTGGTTCGAGATGGCCTAGAGATCGATTTGAGGTGTGTGGGTTCTCAAGGTCAAACCAAGTGGGGTTTCTGTTCAACTGATCAGAGCCGATCGCTGATGACGGACTTCGGAAGCACGGATTGGGAAGTCTCGACATGCGGTTTGCGTGAAGATGCGGTGAGGGCGCGAACTGGAGAAAGGATGTCCAGCAGAGAACGAGCAAAAGCCATGGTTTGGACCAGTGGCCACCTATAGTGTAGGCATTCAGATGGCTTGGGGAGTCAGGTGTGGTTTCATTGATGTACTAGCTGTAGTGAGAGTCAGGTCTATATATAGGCACTATACCCCTACCCACTACCCTCATCCAGAATCCAACTTAGGGGGAGAACATGCCCGGCAATTGGATGATGTCACTGTTTATATTGTCTTTCAAGCAGGCCATTCGTGTTGTTCTATTTAATTAACGCAAGACATGCTGAAAAGGTACAATTAAACAATAAAGAACGGGTTATTGGAGGTTTTTGGCCATGACGCCGAACTAATTCGGTGTTGTCCACTGATCCACTCAACAACCCTCATGCGATCCTAGATCCTCGCGCTTTCGCGCTGCGATCCGCGCTGCGGGACCGCCATGGCTGGTTCCTTCGTGGACTGCCACTGTCACTTGACGGCGGATCAGTTCAAGGATGACTTGGAGGTGCCGAGACCGCGATCGACACGGCGAGGCGCGCGATCGGAGCGACGATGGAAGATGGCACGTCCTGACTCGAAGAGAGCGATGGGTAGGGTAGACTCGTTGATTCGAGTTGAACACCCCCCAAAGGTTGAAGAGGTGTTTCAATCCAAATGGGGGTTATGAATCAAGAGTCTACATGATGGGTGTGTATGGAATCCTGGATTCCTTCTTCCAGGAGTCTTCGGGGGTCTCCCTATTTTGATACACTCAGGTGTCTTTTACCTGCACCCCCAGTAGTGAAAGAGATGACATGAGATGACCAGAGATGACCTCCAACGTTTGAGAACCACATTTTTAATCCTTTTGTAGCGGATAGTTTTGGGGGTATGTGGGAAAACACCGCTTTTCATAGCTTTTCAATTTTCTAATAAAGACTAGGGATCCTGAACATTTGCGAGGAATGCCATCACCACCGGGTGCCGTGAGCTCCGAGCTTTTCCGTTCATTTCCGCTTTGGACCAGGCCGTGCTGGCCCGCGCGGCCCGCGCCCACGTACGAGGCGGGGTCTCGGTTTCTCGGTGTCTCCCGGTCGGTTCGTCGGTGAGAGAGCTCGGAGCCGCAACCCGTTCGATCCCGTTCGGTGCTCCGAAGAAGGGGTTCTGGTGCTTGTGGTGGGGTGCCAGGGGTCTGAGGATGTGGGTTGAGGTCTGAAGAACCTCCCACATGGAGAATCGTGAAGAGGTAAAGCCATGCTGGTAGGGGGGGTTCTGAATCAATCTATATCATTTAGACCTGAGAGAACAGCTCCACTCCAAAAGGGTTCCCAACTTGACGTTAACTTGGGGCTACGGCTCGAGTTCGCAGCTCAACTTCGCTTTTTGAAGCAAATGTTCCATACGAAGAAGATTTAAAGCGGTGAGTCCTCAAGGAGTGTGGATGCCCTAGGGATTCAGTCGTACCTTCTGAACAGGTACGTATGTGGATCCCTAGGGATGGATGATGGATAGGTGATGACAGGTGATTTTGTTTGCTAAGGGCTGCTTGCCTATGCTTCCGATCCCAAAGCAGTTCACTGAATCAGTTTGAGGTATCATTGAATCAGAGATCCACTGATCCTCCCCACCCACTGCTCCTCCCCACGGGGGGGCACGTTCCATCGCAGGCATCCTGGTGTGTTCCAGTTCTCCGGCAGACGTGCAGCAAGTGATCCAGCTAAGACGAAGGCATCCAGAGCTGCAAATCTGCTTGGGACTGCACCCCTTGGATTGCAGCCGCCTGGATGAAGCGATGAGTCATGTAGACTCTTGATTGATAGACCCAGCCCAGTTGGATGCACGCACTCGCGGACCGTCAGTCAAACGGACGCTCCCACGCTCTCCCTTCCTAGTTTGTCTAGGGGGGTGGAGGTGGGGTGAACAAAGAGGTCACCATTCTATATACAAGACACAAAAACTAAAGGGAATGCTGTACAGTCAAGTGAACAAACCGAAACTAGGAGCTACGAACTGCTACGAAAGGCCATGGTGGCGCCGGCAAACGAGATTGAATATGTGAAGAATGGGACACACCTTGTTCGAAGTGAATTTGGGCCAAGCTGTAATCTATGGCATTTACGTCCTCTACGGGCTCGCAAATGCCTGGTACAGTCAAAGCGCATAAAGGAAAAATGAATTAAAGTGGCATGTGAGGGGTATGCCGGCTGCCTGCATTGGAGTGTTCCTTTTTTTTTTTAAACAGGTGGAGCTTGCAAAACTAAATTATCTGCCTATAGCAAATTCACGGGGCATTTTGGATGTATAACTGTATCGAAGTCCTTCTTTTTAAAGAGTACGTATCGGACATGCTGGACGAATGCATCGCGTCGGCTTTCTTCTACTTCTGGCCAATTGGGCCAGTCTGGCTGGTCTTGTTTAGCAGGGAGGGGAGGTGCCAGAAAGTCTGTGTGAAAGGGCGGATTGTGCGGCATGGTTTTAAGCATGTCGTGGAGGTATGTGCATGTGGCCTCAGTATTGGGTAACTGGGGTCGCCGAGACAGGCCACCCTCATGATCAGATGTAAACCCGAGACGTGTCAAACTAGAAGTACCTTGTTTCTTAAAGGATGGGATAAGCTGTGTCCTAGAAAACGTCTGGATGTGTTTGACTACCCAGCGAAAATTTTCTGCAAGCACACGAATCGATTTGGCCTTAATGGGCAGGAGGGAAACCGCCGGGTTGGTGTAGTCAAAGTACTTATAGCCCTTCTTTTCTTTAATGCGGATAGGGAGGTATCGATTAGACCACAACATGAAGGAAATGGCTAGCTCAGTCCATGAGATGCCTGGATCACCACGTTGTGGTGGTGAGTCCGGGCGAGGCCAGACGAGAAGCTTACAGAACTGCCATACCAGGTATGTAAGATTGGTGCCCCACACACTGCACCAGAAGACGACTCTGTGTGGTTCATCTGGGAGTATGTAGGAGTTACCTTGAATGGTCCAATTACGGAGTTTGGTGATCTGGCTTGTAAAAATGTCAACTTCCTGGGAGGACAAAGGGCCCTCCGTTGAGTGCAATGCCGGTTTGGATTTACCCTCGTCTAGCTTAGTCATGCGCGCATAGGCAATATCGAGGAAGTACTGATAGATTTTATCAAAAATAGCCTGTTGCTGCTTCAGGTGGGAGTGGGTCTGCCTACACAATGCGTCAAAATCGGGGTCATCAGTGTTACGGACTCGGCCTGCTGTTTTATCGGCCAGATCGTTGCCTCGGATGTGTAAAGCTTCCTGTATATTTCGGGAATCGTTAATATTTGTATGGGACTTGATTTTGAGGATGGTAAACCGGCTAGCGTCCCATACACACAAAAGGCGTTTCATAAGATCCCAATGGGATTTGCGATGTGGGTTATGAGAAATGGTATTATCTTCAATCTGATGGATACAATTGGTAACAAATTGCGAATCTGTCACGAAAGTGACTGCCTGTACTACCTCTTGTGTTGCTGCATATTCCACGGCCACTACCATGGCGTACAGTTCAGACCTGTTGATTGTCTGGGAGCCTGGGCAATGACCGGCTGCAAGGACTTGGAAGACAGGGTCCGGAGTAGAATGAAGCGTGGGATTATATATGATAGCCGCCCATGCGGCTCTAGCTGAATATGGATCTCTGGTGTCATCGCATGTTCCATCAGTGTAAATTACAGCTTGGGGGTGAAGTGGAATATGGCTATGAATGGCAAGGTTGTGGTGGCGTAGGTGCATGGCTTGGCGAACAAGTTCGACGTTCGGGTGATGACACGGCAGAGGAAACCAGCAAATATGATGATGTTGGGTCATGTAGGCTACGGCATCCGCGTGTTGCTCACGAATATCTTGGAATACCGGGCAATGGAGCAATTGGTGTGTATGGGTATCATATTGATGGCACCATGGGCACTCTGGTGCTTGTGTGGCGGACCACCCTGCGATTGCGCCAAGGGATTGCCATCCTGACGTCATGCTGAGGGCTAGAATTCTGCGTTGACGATCGGTAAGTTTCTGCATGAGGCGGGTGGTCGTGTGGGAATCGAATGGGTTATTGGGGACACCTTTGCGATGTAGTATTTCACGATGGCATTGCCAGTCCCAGGCAATTCGAAGTTGTTGTTTTATCTGCTTTGTGGATGCGGATGGCAAATTGAGGCGTAGGCCTCCGGGACCTAAGAGTGTGGCATTTTGAGTAAGTTCCCATCCCAGCATTTTCATGTAACTAGCCAGCCCAGTTGGATTGAAAAAACCTCTTCAGGCTTGGTGGGTTGGAAATACATGGAAATCTCATCAATTTCGTAAATCACTTCCCATTTGGAGTGTCAAACGATCTTCAAGCCTGGTTAATTTGACATATATTTCAACCAGCACCTTCCAACAGGTCTCCGAAAAGGAGGCTTTTGTAGACTTAAAGGTTGCAGGTGGTGACCTGTTGGAAGGTCCTGGAAGAGTCATTCAATAAAGGAAACGCAGTGAGCAGGAGTTCTTTTCGATCCAACCATCGATCTCCGGGTGTGGCTCGGCCGATCAACGCGGTGGCTCGGGCCGGCAAAAATAGACTGGAGATCCCAGGATTTTGTCGGTCACATACATATATATATATATATACAGGGTTGCACACAATTACATAAACATGTAAAGGGTACAAAGGTAGAAAAACGAGTGTTTGCTTTTTCATACGGCGGCTTAAGCAAGTCAGCAAAGAGAACAGGAAGGTTGAGGAAACATCAGCAATTGCCGGACTCCCAGATTGAGAAAAGAAAGTCCAAAGTGACTTGCCAGCTTGTTTCTGTATGTATAAACAGACCTGACGAGGTTACAAAGGTTCAAACAGACTAGTAGAAGTCAACAAACAAAAGCCCACCAAACTCTGAAAATAGAATCATGTGACATGGAAGCTGGAAGTGAACATCTTCACAGAGGCCGGCCGTGGCTAGGTGAGTTTCAGGGCATGAGGATTAAACACAAGTTCAGACTTTTTTCAGTGAACAAAATCTTTTAGCATTTTTTGAGGATAAGCTTTATTTAGGGCTTGGTGGCTTCAGGAATATTCATTAGCTTTTTTTTTGTGGTAAACTTTATTTAAGGCTTGGTGGCTTCATGGGGGAGAACCGGGAGAACCCTTTCCAGAATAAGGGAGTCAAAAAGAATTGTTGTCAGAAGGGTTTGTGGCTTGATGGGGTTCATTTAGTTGAGAAGGAGTCCAAAGAAGCAACCTGCTAACAAAAGAAAAGAACCGTTAGACACAAGTTCAAACCTTTCTTTTAGCGGACAACATTATTTAGCTTTATTTGGGGCAAACTTTATTTAGGGCTTGGTGGCTCCAGGAAAAATCAGTAGCTTTATTTAGGGTAAACTTTATTTAGGTTTTGGTGGCTTCATGGGGAGAACCCTTTCCAGAATGGTTTTGATCAATTCTCAATGTGTTCTTTAAATAAGGGGTATATAAAGAATTGTTGTCAAAAGGTTGTGTGGTTTGATGATTCAGGATTTGTTTAGTTGAGAAGGATTCCAAAGAAGCAATCTGTTAACAAAAGAAATGAACTAATAAAACACAAACTTAATTATTTTCAGTGAACAAAATTCATTAGCGTTATTTAGGGTAAACTTTATGTAGGGTTTGGTGTTGTTTGTTTTTTAAAATGACATACTATTTTATATGTGTTTGTTATTTTTTGTTATTTTAGTTTCGTTTCTTATTTATTTTGTGTTATGTATTGTTTAATATTTTTTAAAATGTTTTTTATCAGTGCTAGTTTCAATCAATACTTTTGTTCTTTCTTGGTTTATTCACCAAACAGTTTACTGTTGGGGTTCTATCTTAGAAAAAAAGAGCTGGCCACACTCACTGGCAGCGCCCCTGAACTCTGTGGCTGGGCTCTGTGTCCAGGCCTTGTCCTCTGTGGCTGGGCTCTGTTCTGTGTCCTCTGTGGCTGGGCTCCGTGTCCAGGCCTTGTCCTCCTCTTGTCCTCTGTGGCTGGGCTCTGTGTCCAGGCCGTCCTCTGTGGCTGGGCCTTGTCCTCCTCTTGTCCTCTTCTTGTCCTCCTCCTCTGTCACTGGGCTGTGTGTCCGGGTCTTGTCCTCCTTTTGCCCTCTGTGGCTGGGCAGGCCTTGTCCTCCTCTTGTCTTCTGTGGCTGGGCTCTGTGTCCAGGCCTTGTCCTCCTCTTGTCCTCTCTGGCTGGGCTCTGTGGCTGGGCCTTGTCCTCCTCTTGTCCTCTTCTTGTCCTCCTCCTCTGTGGCTGGGCTGTGTGTCCGGGTCTTGTCCTCCTCTTGTCCTTGTCTTGGCCGCGCCCCTGAACTCTGTGGGGCGTACCAAGAAAGCATTTCTTGACTAATATTGGTCTAAACGAATCGTTTTGAAGCTGCTTGGGGTCTATGCTGGTGTAATGTCTTTGCTTTATTGTTTTTAATGTGCTAACTTTATCTAGGGTGGGTTTATGGCTAACTTTATTTCGGGTCCCTTTATAAATCATAGGTCAACATTAGCTATAGAGAATAACGCAGTTTTGTTATGAATCAGGTGGCGTTCTGTGGTCCATTGGGCCCTCACTGGGCCTTGGAATGCACTTGAGCAAAACACTTGAGGCACCCATGGGCTGTGAAGTTTAAAATGCTGGCCTGACCTTTTGGACCATGCCACTGATATTGGAAGACCTTGGCAACCAGCGAGCTCATGAAGCAAAATGGAATTGCAAGAACCCATTCAGCCAGGCTATCTCCTCTGAAGTGCAGGTTGTGTTGACAAGTGCTTGGGCTACACTTGGCTCGTTGCCAAAGGACTCGAAGAAGAGACTTTGGGATGCATTGCCGTTGGCCGATCAATAAAGATGACGTCGAATGTGGACATTGCTTCGCAGGTTTTGGGTGGACTCACGCACTGCAGCGCGAGGACAATTTACAACAAGATTCGGGAAACATCTTTTGGGAGGGCTTCTGAACTTCCTGCACCAGTGAAGGCTACACCCAGTGTCAATACTGTAAGGTGTCTGGGCTTTTGAACACGGTGCAAATGGCTACGCGAGTGGCTACGCGGCGTCTAGTTCTTGGGAGGCCTTTTGCTTAAGTCACTGGCGGCCTCTACATTGCAAGCTTGGCAGGTGGCAAGTTTGGCACCCGGCTTCGCAGCAAGTGGTTTCCGCAACCGGTTGCACTTGCGCCGTAGCATTTTGGATGAGAGCGTTCGGGAACGCCTGGCGGCCCCGCTGCTAGGCCTTGGCATTCTGCGTACTTGTCTGGTTCCGGGGCCAGAGATCATATTGGCCGCTGCGCATTCCGATTCGCTTTTTAGAGCAATACAACCTGTTGGTGAGGATGCACAGGTCATTGGAAGGACGGGGGAGCAAGAGCTTCGCTGAGCTGAAAAACATTGGTGGCCAGCTTATTTCCATCAAGTTGCACAAATTGGTGCTGTTGTGAGATCTGGAGAGCATGCCTAGACGCTAGCAGGTGGCTATTCGTGCATTGAACGCATCTCTGTTTCCCACATGTCCTTTTGAGCCGGCCGCGAACATTCCGTTTGGAGGCTGCGTTTTGAACCCCCGACCAAAACAACACCATCCATTATAGCCTCTGTCCAACACTGGGCGGATGTGCCGATACCCATATAGGTTACGCGCGAAAATGAAACATACATTTCTTTGTGTGCCAAGCACTCCAGGACCAGTGACGGTCAATTGGGGCATTGCAGAATGAACGCCTGAGACCCAGAATGCCCAACACTCGCGTTCTGTCTTGAAACCAGGCGTTCTCCTGCCCGGTCAGTTTTGAGACTGAGTCTAACATGCGGCCCGTGGGAAACGATTTGCCCCATCTCCAAAGATTTCACAGCCGGGATCCTAACGTCGTTGCGACGACTGACTGGAAGGCGCTCAGTGCGCCAAGTGAGATCAAAGCCCGACAGACCAGAGGGGCGGAAAAACACATCGATTTAGACCCAATGACATCGTACCATGTGTCTACCCTTGCACCTGTGTTCCGCGTGCAACCCTGATATATGGTAGTCGATCGAAAGGCGACATAAGGCCTATGCCACTGAGAGCCTTTTCAAGTTGTCCGCGAAAGTTTTTTCTCGAGTTCGCGAAAGTTAATTTTTCTGAAAGAGTCTATTATACTATATATATATATACATGAAGAGGCGATACCATCAGCAGTGATTTGCAACAGTGCCGTGTGAGGTACAACAACAACAACTACTACTACTACTACTACAACTACTACTACCACTACTACTACTACTACTCCTCCTCCTGCTGCTGCTGCTGCCACTGCTACTGCCACTGCGACTGCCACTACCACTGCGTCCTACTCCTCCTCCTGCTGCTGCCACTGGTTGTTACGCTGTGCGACATTTTTTTGGCGAAAGATTCGCGAAAGTTCCGCGAAAGCATAGGCGAATGTGAAGGTTTGTTTTGCGGACCCCTGCCCAAGCCAAGCAGCGACAGACCTAGCAAGATGAGCGCAACAACCGTTGATAGCTCTTCCAGCTCATCCTCCGCCAGTTCTGCTGATTCATCCAATGGTGGTGATTGAGAGTTCTCGCCAATCTGCCTTGTAACACCTCAACCTCGTCTGCAGCTCCAAAATGGTGCTTGATGGAAGTGCTTAGGCTGCTATGTAGAACCACTAAACCAAGACGATTTCTAGAGGATGTACTCCCCGCGAAAGTTAAACATGGAGTTCGCGAAAGATTCGCGAATGTTAATTTTCTTTCGCGAAGAACGCCCTTCCAGCAAGAAGGAATTGTGATCAACCACCATATATATATAGTTATATATATGATTATATGTCCCTAAGGAGGTCACTGAATCAGAGACTCCAGGGGTCCTGGAGGTGTTGTTTTGGACATATGTAACATACTCTGTAGATGCTTGCACTAGTCCGATCATCACCCCAAAAGATAAGGATGACTAAGGTAGTGAGAAGTGAAAAGGATTACCTTCCAAAGAACAGGTCACCAGCAAGTCTCATTTTTCTACAAAAGTCCCCATGTTAGCCATGTTGGAGACATGTTTTCTTGTTTTTTTTCCGAGCCGGGTGCCGATAAATGGTCTGTTGATGCTCTGGTTTTGGACAGTTGGTTGGTCCTTGCTTGGAGGGTTTGGTTGCTGGTCAAGTGGGTTTGTCAGCCGAAAATGTGACTAAACCATAGGCATCTTCATCTGAACTTTGGCAGTGGGTGGTATCAGAACCCATGAGAAACACCAAAACAGGAGGGTTTTTTTGGGTTAAGAGTCTCCAAGGAACGAACAAAGGCAACATGTCAAGCCTGGTGAAGTGAAGTGACCGAAGTGGTGGTGGGCTGGTGAATGAAGACCTTGATTCTTCATGGTTCTTGGACTCTAACTGGACAAATTTGTACATTAAGGCGATTTGGGTGGCTCTTTCTTTGGGTGTGTTCGACCACCAGGTCTTGTAACTTCTATTCACATGCATCAGGGGCTGTGTTTTCTTGGTTGCCCGGGACTCAAAAGGTTTTGTAGAATGTACTTGAGTGTATTTTGGGCCTCCCCAAGTACAGCAGTTGAGCATGGTGCAGCAATACTGCTGGAGACTCTTCTGGGATTCCGGTGGTTCTTCCACTCCTTCGTTCGTTCGTTCGTTTGCATTCAGGCTTCCAGGAGGAGTGGAACACTGTGAGCCTTCCAGCTGCACTAGGCAACTGATTGATTGCACGGCCTCCAAACCCTGAAAAACAATGATGGCTCGAGGACATGCAGCGACTCGATTGCCAAACTGATTGGTACCGTGAAGTGGGGAAACCCGGGTTGTTCGGGCTGAAGCCGCCTTGTTCGGGCGAGACCGGTGACTGAGGGGCTGTCATCGCCAATGAACACCTGGACCAAGCGATTGCAGGCTTAGGGGAGATGCTGGGCACCAGAAATTGGGGGAGTGGAAGCGGCTGGATGCACCTACGGGTGCATGATCAACATGATCAACCAATTGTGATCAAAACTACGGGTCTATCATCCAGAGTGATCGATATCAAGTTCATACAAGGGGCACCCAGTTCAGAGCAGAAATTGCACTGGCGGCCAGCCTCCAGATGAGCTGTATGGTGCTGAGGGCAGGCAATGGGTGAGGTTCTTCCAATCTGACTCAATGGGTGGTGTGGAATCCATGGAGTTTGTTCCATCCACTCTTGTCCCTTCCCTTCAGGTCAGGAACGGACCTCATGGAAAACTGGAGATGGTGATACGCAAGCAGGAAGACGAGACATGAGGGTATTCAAGACCGGGAGACTGGACATGGGACTGGACGTGATTGTAGGGCTTGTTGTAAATGCTGCAAGTGCTGTGGCTCCCCTTAGCGAGTGCTTTGTTCCACGACCTTGGATACTCGAGCTCACCGAGAACAAATATCGAAGTGTCTTCTATAGTGGTTTGGCTTGGGTGTTGGTGTCCAAGACATTCCAAACCTGGTTCTATGACTATGATTGAAACTTCTATGCTCTTCTTGCGCCAGTGCTGCCAATGATTTGGCTGACAAATGGGTGTTTACCTTTGCATGTTCATGGTTTGTGGGGCATTTGGTGTGGTTCATGGTGTGTTGGTGGAGGTTGTTGACCTTCCAAATTAGGAAACATTCAGCCGGTCAATGTGAAGCAGCCAGTTGGCTTGCTACCTGCAGACTCAATGTGCCAAGATGGACACCCTGGTTCTCAAGAAACCATGAATAATTTTATATTGTAGAGAATTATATGTATAAACATGCTTCCCTTGCATGGTGATGCATACATTGCAAGCACCTGCCACATCTTGGGTTTTCACTTATTCTTGGCGAGTTGGATATACAAACTGTGTGATTAGGTCACATTAGTCTGGATGGCTGAGTCCTCAACCTTCCACCCTCCACAACTCCCACCAAAAACGCATCCCTCTCCTTTTGCCGCTCTGATCAAGGATCGGATTGGACTTCTCTCGACCTTTGTTGAGACAGAAGGCGCAAGCCCTGGGTCTCACTGAGGCCCCGGCCCGCGCGGGCGTCGACCGCACTGTCTCTGCGCGCCGGCGCGTGCGTGTGGTGCACCGTCGGTCTCCGTGTTGCGAACTCGAGCGGTGCACCACACGGTGTGGGGGAGATCAGTGGCACGGAGGCGGAGAACGGAGTTGAACACCTTTGAAAAGAGATCAACAGCTACTGTAGGCAGCTAATTGGTGCCTGATATGAGGTGACTGATATGAGGTGATGTTCCATGTGGAACTTGACTCCAAGATGTCCCCTAGTGTCTATGTTTGCCATCTCGAGGCGGCAGTGCGGCAGCTGCAAGTGAAGTCCTTCGAGGCACAGCTGCAGCTGGCGGAGGAGCTACAGCTTCCGGTGAACGCTGCTGTGTAGCAGATCGATGGGCCTAGTAGGGTGTCGCAACAGTAAACCAGTAACAGTCGGTAGTCGGTAAAAGAGTTTGCGTGCTTCTTTTTATCCCGGGTGGTTTATATCCTGAAAAAATGCATACACTCGCTCACTCACTCCAACTCATCAGAATGGAATGGGATTGGTTGGCTCTTCAGGTGCATGCACTCAGGTTGCAGGCGGTTGCAGTGGAATTCTTAGCGTCGTTGAAATCAGCCAGGTTGTAGAGATGGAGGGACGAACCAGAACCAGGAACATCCAAGGTTACCCATGCCACTTCTCCTTGCAGAACCCAGACACTCCATGTGTGGAATATATGCCTGCATTGACCCCCTGAATGGAGTGTCTGTGGAAGAGACTCTTTGGCTAGTCTGGGTTTTCTTGGTAGGTCACGGTGGGTCTGAGGTGCATTCCCGGAACGCTGAAGCAGAGACCCTGGAGATCCTCGAGCGGTACAAGTCTGTGGGGGCCACCATGGCAGCAACTCAGTATAGTTGCTTCACCGGACGAAAAGCGACGAAAAGCGAGACGTGTGTGTGTGTGTGGAACCTTATCTTGCCTATTCTTCCAACCAGATGCTCCACACGAATTCACAGACGCGACCCGTTCACAACCCGACTGGTCCCGACTGGTCCCTCCGTAGGGATTGGTTCGGGTCGACGGACACCTCCATCTTCGGGTTCCGATCCCTCGGAGCGTCCGGGGGCCCGTTCTCGAACGGGTCGCGTCGAAGGGCGGAGTTGATGCGAACTCCGCGGAGAGTCAAACACACATTTCACCTCACTCCAACAATCAGACCCATGGATCATCATGGATACTATGGACTCATTGCTGGATGACGAAGAGATGGTTTGCGGTTTGCTCATCTATAGGTTTGGTGGTTTTCAGAGGTTTTTGGGGTGGTTTTCCCTTCACTGGGTGGATCCCCTGAACGGTTTCTTTTCCATGCAAACCGGGAGGTGGACCTGGGTGAACCTCCGTGGGTGGAAGTTGTCTACATTGACCCCCCCTTTCAACCACCCCTTTTTGGACTTTTCTTGTATTTGTGTCAGTCCCAAATTTTCTCGTGTCAGGTGTATCATGTCTTTTGTAAAGTGTGGATTTGGTCCACCCTTCCACCCCTCCACCGCCGGCACATCCAAAAAGGTGATGCATGCCTACAAGGGGCCTGCGTGGCTGGCTGCAGAGGCAGCGCAACTGGGAAGGCTTTATTTCTCCTTCCCACCCTCCTTGGTCTACAAGTGGGAGTACCAGGCGCCTTTCTGGGAGGATTGAAAAGGACCTGGCATGGGATGTGAGAAAGCTTGGTTTTCGAGGTGACCAGGACCCGAAATCACCAACGAAGTAAGTTCGTCACCTGGTTGCTACTTGCAACAATTGTTTTTTCCTGCCATGCACGAGAGGTCGAACAGCCCATCCTATACCATATGGACCGCTATGGACCGCTCCCAGTTCAGGTCCCTCAACCTCTCTTGGGCATGTTTCTGCGAGTGTTTGCTTGACGTCGAAATTCAAGGTTTGAGGACGTTGTTCGTTGGATGGTGCGGTGCGGCCTGCTGACGGACCGGATTCTGGGGGGGATGCCGGACGTCAAGCGTGCTGGTACGGAGGGGACGTACACAGGCATGCGTGAATGGACTCGTGGTTGCTGAAGAAAACATCTGGTTTCAGGTTCTTTCACTTCCCAATCTAGATATCCGTAATTGTGTTTTTCATACTATGTTCATCTATGTTCACGCGGAAATCCCGCGTTGCTCCTTCTTTCCCAGACTGAAGTGATCAAGTCGTCCGACCAACCTTCTGCCCCTCCGCTCTCCGTCTACCGGCCGCCGAGGAGGCGGTGAAGGCTTTGCCCCTGGAGCGGCTGCTGCTGGAGACCGACAGTCCCAGCCTGGGCTCGCGAGGACCCAAGGCGTCCCTGGACCGACGGGCGGCGTGGCGTTCGGACCGGACCGATGAGGACATGGAGGATATGGAGGACAGGTGGGAGATGGAAGTGAACGCACACGCACCCCCGCCATGTCGTAAAGGAAAGAAAGTGTCCCTTTAAGGGACCAGACCATGCCAGATCCACTTTCCCTATAGTTAGTGAGTCAGAGTGTATAGATTCTGGATGGATAATACCATCTGGATGGTGTGTAGAAGTTCTTCATGGAATCATAAGATTTCATAACACACTTCCCACTTGGAGTGTAAATCGATCTTCATATGGGGGGGTTGAACTATAATCTGAGAGTCGACATTGTGGACATTATGCTCGAGGGCTCATATTTACAAAGGTTCCCGCCACCTGGTGAAAAATCCTTCAAAAAGCCGACAGGTGACACTGACACCTTTGGCCGGCCTCACACGGACGATATCAACGACTTAATTTTGCTAAAAACGCCTGAGATGATGTGTATACTTTAAGTAGAAATCTAATCATATCTAATCTAATCAAATCTAGAATTCTAGGGGTGACTCCCCTCTTCTAGGGGTGCTTTGTCCCGGTTCCCGGCAGTCGCAGATCCCGTCCAACCGACGTTTCTGCGTACGGACGCGACCCGCATGAGCCCGCGCCTGCGCAGGCGCGGAACGAGCCGGGCTTCATCCGTGAGGCGGCGCAGAAGATGGCTGAGTTGAAGGGTCTCACGGTGGAGGAGGCGCCTCCGACGATAGGACGGTGTTGGGAACTTGGGTCGCGTGTCCGGGTGAGGGTGTGAAGGGGGGGAGCGGCTTCTTATATATCCCATGCACGACTAATGGCACTGCCATATATGTCGATCAATTGACCCCTCAAACCACCCCAACTGATTGGCATATATTCCATACATGGAGCGTCTGGGTATTATATAATTGTAGTAACGTAGCAATGCTTATTTTGGAGAAAAACACGATGAGACCAGCACAAGAAAGAACCAACACCGCAACCCCGGAGTTGAAACACCGCTTATCCCTGGCATATCCCTGGGTAGTCATCTTCAGCTTCAGAAGACGTCATGTAGAATCTATTAAAGCCCCGCCACTTGGCATTTGGATCCTTTAGATTGAAAGCCATTGTCAAACATAAAGGCATATATCATTACATACTTTCATGTAATACTATAAGTGCACTAGTATGTAAAGATACCAGGACCCTTCTGTCGGGGTGTCCTGGCTGGACTACCCCACACTACCGGCCTAGGCTTCCAGACAGGTCTCGGAGGCTTTTGTAGACAAAATCCTGGTGACCCTCCAACAGTAGGGTCCTGGTAGGGGTTTATGAATCAAGAGTCTACATTGTTTGCATTAAAGGAGTTTTGTTGTTCCAGTTTCCACACTAGGTGACATCTTGGATGCAGAATCGCCTCAACCCGATCGAAGCGGCAGCTACCATAAAGTGCTTTTGCCAGGTAGCCGCAGTGACCACCCGAAATGCTTTGCAGCTCTTCCCTGCGCTGGCACAACAGGCGCAGGAGGTGCAGCAGGCGCGGTGTCTGTGGTGTGTTTGAGCGGAGGACGAGGAGAAGGAGGAGGAGTTCTTGTTGTTCAGCATGTTTCAGCAGCGGGCAGGTTTGGAAGGTGGTGTTATGGGGGGAATTAACATCATGAGTTCCTGGAAGATCTTAAAGCTGTTTGTTGATCAGCCTGATGAATTCATACATTATGTTCCCCCCTGTGGTCCTGCCAACCACAAAAAGCCTGGTTGTTGGATGCCCCAATGTCCCAACGACGATTCACTCAACGGTTGCCGTGGGTGAAGAGTTCTAGTCTGCGGAATCAGTTTCTGGTCCTACAGATCCAGTGCCCAGTAAAACCTGGTCCTGAAAACCTCAGTGAGTGGTTTCTTGTATGATCCACTCCAGTGACTCCAGTAAAAGTGAGGTCCTTGACTTGTAGAGTGGGCTAGCTAGCCACCTTTGGGCTCCAAGAAACCGAAACTATGAGGCACCAACGACCCGTCATCAACGCTGGTGGAGTTGGACGTGCTTGTTGAGACCCCAAGAAATGCCAGACGAGTGGATCCAAGTCAATAGATGCGACCCGCAGGGTTACCGCAGTAGATCCAGTCCATTGCTATCAGATCCCAGGGATGAGTATAGCCACATCCAACCCCCCTCAAGTGCTGAACAACTCCGACTTATCTCAGGACTCACCTGGATTGGGATGTGACTGCCTGACTTACCTGTGCTTAGCTCCACCCTCTCATTGCATCACTCCCGACAACCACCCTGTCTTTGTCACTTGGTGGAATTGGACCTGGAGGAGCTCCTCAGTGACCTGACTCCTTTAGCTGCTCTAGCTGCAACACTAGCTTTCAGGGTCCATGTGAGTCAGACCAGCCGGGGAGCTCCGAAGTGACCAGACTCCTCCTCCGAGCTCCAGGCAGAGTCCAGACCGGGCCGCGGCCGCTGGGTGCGGAAGGCGAGCACCGCTGGGAGAGAGACCGGATTGGAGGATCGGTGTTTCATGGCAAGAACCGCTTGCGCATGGGATCATACGTGTACCTAGTAGCCCAGCCTGTCCGGATGCCGCTGGAGACCTGTTTACGGATTGGGTAGGGTAGTCGAACGCCAGGACACCCAGACAGGATGATCCTAATTTCTAATTCCTATGTGACACATTGGATGATCCTGGTAGTTGGGTAACAGCCTGAAGCAGTTCTGATGTTAGTAGTTCTGAAGCAGTTGGAGTGCCAAGCCGCAGTCTTCCACTTTGACACCACCACCCAATGTAACGATACCCAACGGTTTACGTACTTTGGTTGCCCTGGCAGACTCATCTTGGCGTAGTTGGTGTTTCATGTGCTTCCAACCAAGCAGAAGAAGTAGAAGACCAAGATGTTCTTTATTCTGGTTTGATTTTTATAGAAGTTGCTAAGTTGATACACAGGCCAGTATTAAGAAAGATCATAAGAGATCTGCATCTACCAGGACCTTCCTCTTTGGTCTGTGGATGTGGTGGTTTTCGCATATGGTTTCACAGGTGGGTGCCAAGGCACATAGGTCTGGTTTCAAAAGCCATTGAACGGAGGGTCCAGGTGCAGAGATCTACTGGAGCTGGAAACCTGGTCCCAACCAGAAACAAATGGATTATTCCGAGTTCCAGCCACTCTCTATGTGTGCTATGTACAGGATCTTAAATTGCCATAAAGGAACAACCATTTGTTTGTAGTTGTTCTGGTTTCCAGGTAAAAATCGGAGGTGTAATGTGTATTCAACTAGTGTGTTGCCAGCCAAGCCGAGGAAGAGAAGAATCTGCATCCAAATTGTCGTTATAGAACACTGGTAGAACGGGTATCTGATAGAACTGGTATCTGATAACTCAGATAACAACTCTGGATGATACTCAAGGAAGAGGTACACTCCCGATGTCAACTCACAGCTAGACCCTGACGTCCGTCCTGGTCCCATGGGTCCGACGATGTTCCTCAACCAACCAGGGGTGTACTCAGGTTCCATGGGATCGTCTTCCAGGGTGTATCTGATCACTCCACAGTTCCAGCAGAGGTGGGTCAGAACCCGAACCTTCGACTATCCTAGTTCGGTACCCCAGGTAGCTCGGGTCCTAGTTCAGGTCACTTAGCCTCTGGTTGAGTTTCATCAGATACCTCTTCCACTGCCACTGACCTCTTCGAGGCGGACTCCGGTGACGCGGACTCCGTGCCGAAGGCGGACGACGGTTGGTGCGGGGGGGCGACGACTCGCTTCGCCTGATCCGCTGAGCCGAACAAGTGGTGAAAGAGATTTCCAGGGCGACTTGGTTGGTCTCATCAACGTCATTCAACTCCCAAGCACGCAAGTGTTTTCCTGGCAGAGTGGTGGTGGCCTCATTTGTTTGGAGGGTGGTGGTCCTTCTTTGTTTCAGGCGGGTCAAGTGTATGTGTTTAAAAAGATATTTTCATACTACTGAGGTGCCAATTCATGTCCAGGTGCATGCGGGAACGCCCGTACGGGAGCCGCCCTGGGGAACACTGGAATGGTAGAATCTTCAGTCACTGGTTCGATCCAAGGTGGCTACCCAACTCAGCGGAACTCGCCCGAGTGTTTGGGAGTGTTCGATGGCCCGGGCTGGTGTTTGGCCCGTGATATACGTTTGTTATCGTTTAGTAAAAAGAGGGGATGAAATACCTCCTCAAATGATCCACTAGGTACATGAACTGATTGATGTTCTCAGAAACACATCATCATTTGGTCTGGGAAGATACCCTTTTCACCAGTGAAAAGTCTGAGAGAAGAGAACTCGGAGATCTTAAAACATTTGGGATGATGATGCTCTTGAGCTCGGGGAGATCTCTGTAGGTGGGTTTTCTATTGGTGGGGTTACGACCTTCAAAAGGAAAAACACATGTTTGCTTGTTCTACAAGATCTTTGGGGGATCGGCTTTAGGTGGGGTTATGACCTTCATTAAAACAAGCTTGTTTGTTTGTTGATCCTTGGGGGATCTCCTTTCTTTAAACGGTGGCAGTTGACCTAAGAGTCCGTAAGAGTCCGTAAGAGGCTTCACCACCCAAAGACCTAGACCTAAAATAAGGCACATGGTGCTTAGACGGTGAGAACAAGGTTCTTGAGTTCTTGACAGTGGTTTTGGGGCGCTCGGGAAAGGGGCATACTCCTGTTCCCAAACACTCCATGGGATTGCCATATATGCCGATCAGGCCAGGGCTGGTGGTGCCAGGGGGGTCTGGCTTGATCGGCAGTCCTATGGCAGTCCCATGGAGTGTTTGGGGTGGAACATGGGTCGATTTAGCATCCAATTTCCATCCCCCCAGGCTGCCGGCGCGAGCGCTTTGAGGCCCTTCCTGCCACCTCTCTCCGGCGGTGGAAGCGCATGGACCCGGCTCTGTGCTCTTCGGCCTATGGCAGTGCGAATCGATGCGAGTGAGGCGGGGTGCGGGAGGAACAGGGGGAAGAGCAGAGCAGGAGCAGAGCAGCAGAGCAGGGTGAGTTGATGAGGGTGAGTTGGTACCTGGAGAGTACAGAGTACAGAATCAATGAATGTCCCATGTCCCATGACGGAGGCTTCGCATGTTTGACAGTATTTGAAGGCATCCTTCCAGCGTCTGTAGGCGGACTGGAAATCTGATCAGGTGTTTGCACCCACAAAACTGTTGCTGTTTGCGGGCCCTGATGTTTATGTTTGAGTGTTTTCCCCTTGTAACGCTGCGCTTTGGACACAGGAACAATGACCATGTGAGACCATGTGAGACCCGGGGGGGCTTTGGTTCGTGTGTGGTTCGTGCCCAAGTTGGATCTTGCAGGACCTCCAGGTACGGCACGAAGTGGTGATTCAGCTGGAATTGATCCAGTGCCGGGCTGAAGCCACGGAGCCCAGAGCATCCATGGGATTGAGACTCTCTTCCTGGGCCTCCATTGGTTTGGCAATCGCCTGAATCCCTTAGTAACACCGTTTTGGTTACTAAGGATTTTACCCTACGTCACACAAAACCAGGTCACACAAGTTTGACATTAAATGCTCTTGGAAGGCAGCTATTGCTCTCCCTTGTCAGGTTGCTCGGCCTCGGCCCTCCCGCCGCGGACGCGGCTGGGTCCTTCATTGCGTCCGACTCAGCTGCAGGGAATGAAGCTGAGTTGGAGAGCCCAGGCCAAGTTGTTGTTGATGTTTGGCTTCTCAACATCAAACTTGAGACTTTGGCATGTATTGTGATTCAACAAGATGCTGCGCTGCTGTAAATCAAAGCATGGACTACAAACGACGCCTCCAACTTGGAAGTCCTTTTTGCCTTTTCGTCAGCCCGGGCATTGACTTTGGATGCTCGTTCAACTGCTTATCGTTGATTCAGCTAGAAGTCAATCGACTCATCGAGTTTAGAACTTGCTAGTAGCTTCTTGTTACTAGGAGCAGAAGGAACCTATATAATAGGAATGGCCTCCAACCTAATAGCAATGGCCTCCACCGAGCATAAGTGTCTTTGTTACTAGTAGCTTCTTGTAGAAAACCAGTCGACTTGTGTGAAAGATTTGGAGACTCCGTTCAGAAAATCCATAGCACACGGAGAGACTCAGATCGGCTGTGGGCCACTCTTTGGCTTTGATTTGGAAGAATTGTCATAGAGAATGTCCCCCTAAGTCCCTCCAACTCAAGAAAGGGCAGATTCAAATCTTTTGGGCCTCAGGGGCCTCCCGTTCTCCAAGACCTGAAAGCACAGATGCCCAAGGAACGAGCCCCAATGGGGTCGTCATTTTGTTCCACCCGTCTCCCACGCCTGTACACAGTGGCCCGTCGTTTCTCCGCCTACCAGTGGCTCCCGTTCGAGGAAACGCGGTCTGAAGCTCTCCCTGCTGAAGTGGTGCTGCGGTCACCAAGCATGACCACGCAAGGGCCTAGACCGAGCCCTCTGGTTGGAGACCGAGGCGGAGGCGAACGAAGAAGCCGAACCTCCTTGGCGTCCCGGTTCGTTGGACATCCACGGCCTCCGCCTTCATCGCAGGCGTCGAAGGCTGTCAGAAGGCTTGGCCTCCGCGCAACTCGAGGGGAGACACCGACTGGCCGCGGTCGCCAGACTGGCGGCGTGGATTGATGATCCGAGTGACTTGCAGTCGCTATGGCGAAGCCGGATCTTCTCCATTGTTCCATGCTGACTGGTGCTTAGTAGGGAATAAGGGAATGAGCCCCCAATAGAGATTCTATTGGATCCATTCCCTCATTCCCTACTAAGCACCAGTCAGCATGTGTTTGCCCATTTTTCACCCCTCCACAGGATGAGAAAATATGCGCATATGCCTATGCGCATATGCGTGACTGCCCCAGATCGAGGTGGATGTGGCCCAGATCGGCACTGGTGGATCAGCTTAGCTGAGATCTGCCATTTTCAAGGCTCTTCATGGACCTGGTTTTGCTCAATTCAGGTGATTGAGTGATTTTCCGCAGCTGGGTGAGTCCTCCAGATCGCGCCGGGGATGGAGCTCAGCGGTGGATGGAGTTCGACTGGTCTACGATGGCTCCATGTTTTCATGTCCGGACATCTTCAAGATCGTGCTGCCCGACCCAGACCGCAAGACCGCAGGATTGCCTGACGAAATGGAACAAGGATGAAAAAGGATTCGACTGATCTCATGTGACTCACGTCCTTGCTAAAGTGCTTCCCCGAGAAAAACGGACTGAAAGCCACAAAGAAAACACTGGCGGCCACAGAAGCTGCACACCTTGCAGAGCCTTCTGAATGTCCGTTTCTGAAATCTTCAGCCCCCCCCTGTACGCCTGTACCGGCCTTTGAGCACATGACAGTTTCCAGTCCAAGAGTCTTTCATGCAGTTCCGGTGGAAGTTCAGGGTCACCAGGTTCATTGTTGCTTAGACCCTGCGAAGTCATTCACATGAAGATGATTCTGCACAGCGACCTCTGACATTATTTGCCAACTCACATGGGTCCATATTCATGTTGTTTCTAAAGGAAAACAGGCTACAAAATGATTCACTTTTGCCATGGTTTGATCCACTGATCGTCGCAACTGGCTACAACTGGTCGCAACTGGCTACAAATGGTCCACTTTTCCTCATCATTCCAGTCCACACTCGTCCGACCCTTCGTCGTTCCTCGTTCCTCGGCCGAGCCGGGCTCGTCCTTCCTCGTCTCCAGGCCCCGAGCAGACGCGGTCGGTCGAGAGGCATCCGACGTCTCCAGGGTCGTCGGTCGAAACCTGTGAGTACGCCGTGGTGATGGAGCTGAAGTAAGAGTAGGAGCGGGCACAAATCAACCACACCATCTCTTCTCGCAAACTCCATCACTGCCAGAGTAAGAGTGGAGCGGGCTAGTGGTTCTCTGTAGAAGATCAGTGGTTCTCTGGCAGTGAACCACTCATCACTGCAAGAGCGGGTTTGGCAGTTAGAATATCACATTTCCTGTAGAATATTCCCTGTTTGCTGTGTCTCGCAGTCTAGCAGTTAGCACAATTCCCAAATGAAATGAATGTTGTTCACCAACGCACTAGGGTGTAAGGCCGCTAATTATTCTAGTGTTAAGTTGACAGGTCAATGGTTGTTTAGGACCTACCGGTTGTTGGTTTTGCTTTTTTCTTGATTTTTGCGATCTTTCGGCCGCTTTCGGCTGCAGATGAGTGCGAAAGAAAGCACTGTTATTATATTGAACATAATAAGTCATGTTTACAAGAAACCCCTTGCTGCAAGTAGCCACTTGCTGCTCGTATCACAAAGAAGTCTCCCAAAATTAAAGAACTGAAGCGGGAAACCAACCCCTTGGCGAAAGCTGGACACCAAGGCCATAGAACTAGACGCTGGGAAGGCGCACAGCAGCACAGAGTGCTTCAGTGCTTCAAGTAGAAGAAAACCATAGAATAAGCCAAAAAGCAAACATTGTCCATCGAGTTCTTGTGATTCTCGGAATGGCTCGCACAAAAGCCGTTGCCACAAATTCAACTGATTGTCTCAAGAAGAGTTGATTAAAAAAAACTGGATACGTATAGGACAGCACCCCACTTTGTTCACAGCTCTCTTGTCAATCCTGTGAACTTTTTTGGATCCACCAATACTCACCAATTCCACAAGTTTCTTGTGAATTGGTCAAGTTGGAGGTTTATGGGAATCATAGGAGTCGAACAAAAGCCATCGCCACATAACCCATGCTCCGGAATCTATGCCCCCCGCCAAGATGCTAGTTCCAGACGGTGTTTGGGGTGAATCCAAAAGTGGGGCCCATGATTTCGAGATATGTTCACCCCCATTCTTTTTGCTGGTAATGGAGGCTGGTAATGATTTGTAGCATCATAATTACAGGAGTATAATGATTCCAATCCCAGACACTCCATGGGACTGCCATATATGCCGATCAGTTGGGGTGGTTGCAAAGGGGTCGTATGTAAATATCGCAGCCCCACTAACAGTCCCATTCGTCGCCTCTGGGAATTGATCCCCCTGGCACCCACCCACACCTGGCGAAACGAAGGTGCGGTTCGGTGGGCCAGGAGGCCTAGGGCCTAGGGATCGATCGGCTTCTTCCAACCCCCTTCCCTTCGCATCTTCGCCCCCCCCCCGCCACTGACCGACGGCCCTGCGGCTTCCAGGTGCACCGGACGCTTCGTCGCACCGGGACGCGCGGGGCGGCGACGCTCAGTGCGTGCGTGTCGCTGGGCGTGGCGAGCCAGGCGTGGGGGTGACCGCGGTGGGAACGTGTCTTCTATTTCTTGGGGGTGGGGATGGGGGGTTCAAAAGGAATTGGCTTAAGGTCGTTTTGTTGGTGTTTTTCTTTTTCATGTTTTTCTTGTGGCACCCCTTGGAATTCATTTGAGAGATTCACAGGCAGGCTGTGACGAGACGGCAGATGTCATCAAGCCAACTCCATTAGAATCAGGTCTCCCTGTAGGGAATCACATGCGAAGTGGCAGCCCTATATAGGGGTGTCCCTAACATCGAATCCACGGCCCCAGACATCAAAACGAGAATGACTATGCCATGCCATGCCCATGGCCCTTTTCTTTCCTGGTTCGGAATATCATGTCAGCCGAGCTGAGCCCTGCGACTCCGGGTTCCGCTGCCTTCAGCTTCTGCCGTTCCTCTGAAACCAACCGCTCGGCTCCGCATGGATCGCCGCGCCGAGCGTTCGCGATCCCCACGGCGAGTGGCCTGGCCGCTGCGGGGGGCTGTTGAGGTTTGTGGTGTTGAATTTATTGGCATAGCAGGAGCAGTTTCAACCTCTTATTTTGTGTGTGCGTGTGTGGTTTTATTATACGTGTTGTTGTTGTCGTTGTTGTTGATGTTGTTAATGTTGTTGTTGTTAATGTTAATGTTGTTGTTGTTGATGTTAATGTTGTTGTTGTTGTTGTTGTTGTTGTTGTTGTTGTTGTTGTTGTTG